TTTCTTGCTTTATTATCATACATGTATCATATGCCGACTCCGCTAACCAATCCCATAAGTGATTGAAGTTCTTTCTGAAATGGGATTCGCGATAATAAAACATATGACAAGTTTCATAACAGAGGTTGCAGCAGATATGCGGAAAGCACTCCACCATGAATTGCTAATGGTGCACGTCCATTCAGCGGCCAAATATGCAACACCTCAGCTCCAAACATTTGTGTTTGTTCGTAGGTATAATAACAAAATCTGTGTTCGCTCATACTAGGTCAGCACGATATTTCTTACCTGCATTTTCTTTTCTGATCTGCACAGACCGGATGTATGCGAGACTCGAGAGGTAAGAAACAAAAGCATACAGCTGCCGTAACTGCCGCATTCCGATTTGAGATATTTTTTATTTAAACCTTTATCTTTCCGTTGAGCTGCTTCGTATACAGCCGCGTCCACAAGAGCCGAGCCAACACATTTGCATGGAAAGCAAATAATGGACCTAATCAGTAATCGCTCGTGCGTTCTTATAAATTAGGAAGGAACCTCATTCTATTTGAAATGATGCATGTAAAAAACGTAAGAAAAACGAAATAAATATATCTTCTGTACAGATAAGGCCTCCATACAGACGGGCACACGCCATCCTTACTGTCCGTAGCCGACACCCTGACGCCTCCTCCCTCCCCCACCTTGCAAGCTCGGCGCAGAGTGCTGAGGACATGTCAATAGGAATTGGTCACGCTGTTCAATGTACCGATGGAGACCATTTGAAAAGACGGTGAGACATGGACACACACACTACGTTTATGGCATGGAGACAATGGTGGACTTCACATACACCCGAGCTATGTAGAAATAGACCTAAGGATCGCCTTGTATAATCACCGGATCATGCTCAGGCGTTCCACCATCCTGTGAAGTAGACTGCAGTGTGGAGATCGTGCCGAGCGATACACGAGTCGTGCCATCTGTGAACAGGATGCTAACCTTGTACCATTCACTACTTTATCAGCTTCCATGAAACGGGTTCCTCGGTGAGGACCAGCTATACGGTATAACTTGTGCAGTTTCAAACAAACATGTGAGGGAGGACAATGGACGGTATCCACTGCCAAATGGTTGAGCGAATTAAGATCGTGGAGACGGAAACCGAAGGCGATTGGTGCCGGAATGCGGTGCCAGCTGCATGCAAGACCCTACTGGGACGTCTTGTAGACTGAAGTGAATGTTTTGGTGGGCGCAGAGAAGGAAGATTTCAGTGCACGATATCGACACGATTTTGATAGGCATTTTGGAAGCAAGTGAAACAGCTTACGGTTGGACTATGGGCAGCCAGTACACCTTTGCAACTGCATACCAACGTCTACACAAACTCAGAGGTACGCCATTCCAGAGGTTAATAGGAAATCCTTCCTTCCTTACGTCATAGGTCACTTAATTTCTTTGCTTATTATTGCATTTATCCGCATAACTGTAAAACACTACAGTCTATAGTCGAAATGCTAACCAAATTAGAGCGACCGTCGTCTCGTAGCAAGTGCTTTACCTCAAAGTCCTATAAGTAGAATGATCAGCATACCTAACCTGTTATTGTCACTGGATGTTTTAACTCGCCAAGCCAGTTGGTCCCAAGTGATACAGGCTAGCCTGAGAGCCTCAGTTTAGCAGAGACATTGATCAATCAGACAACCGATGGACACGCATTGATGATCTGGTTGACTCAAGAGTGACGCATCATCGATCTTACGCACGGATCTTTGAGTGTCCGATCAGTACCGTCACCGTGTGCTGGTGATGGCGTGCCAAATTGGCCAAAAGTAAACACGGCATGTGATCATGATAACAAATATTTATTATTACAACATACAGTCAATCACAGGACAATAAGAAATAAATAAGGATGAATAAAGCAACAGACATGACTGTCTCTTGCTTAAACCATAAATACCTCTCTGAACATAGAGAAACTTTCACACAAGGAACAAATCAGAGAACATCAACTTCTCTAAAAATAGAGAAGTATATTCATCGGCACTTAATAGGGTTCAGCCTCATTTCGAATGGTCTACTGGTAGCGGGGCCTGTATCCGACGATGACACGCTCGTACTGGGGCTCCCCACGGACCTCCTCCTCATCATCATCCTCTTCCTCCTCCTCCTCCTCATCCTCTTCCTCAGACACCTCCGGGGTGGGGTACTGGGTGGGCACCGGGGTGGGCAGGTGGTCGCCCTGCGCCTGGAAGCCCTGCTCGCCGGCCGAGTACACCACCGTGTAGGTGACGCCGTCGGGGGCCGTGTAGCTGAACTGGCCCGACACGCTGTAGCTGTCGTCGTCCTCCGGCTCGCCAGACTCCGACACAGAGATGCCGTTCTCACTCTCGAAACTGGCGGACAGAGGCGGGCGTTGGGTTAGAGAAAACACTGAAGACACTGTCATAAATGAGGATTTGGTGGTTCTCACAAACATGTAAACTACGAATGTCTTTTTGTTGAACAAAAGATGTTTCTCGTTTTTAGAGCCACTTTACTTTCCCTAAGATCTAAGCAAGGCACAACAAATAGAATACCAAGCTGGGCTTCAAATGCTCTTTGAAACTTCCTTGACGATTGATCTCGAGTATTGCGACGTAAGAACAATTACAGAAGCCGACCACTTTTCGAACAATTGACTGCCGTTCGAACAGTCGACCGACCGTCGCCAGTGTAGATACTCACGAGTGTTGGTAGGACTGGTCGTCGTTGTGGTCGATGTTCTGTCGGAGGATCTCGACAATGTCCCTCTCGTAGGGGAGCTCCGACGGGGCGGCGGCGGCCACGGCCAGCACGGCGGCGAACACGATCTGAAACGGAACAGACGTCATGGCGGAGGGTCTAAACTGCAACGGCATCGACCTCTTGCAAGTATAGGGTCGAAAGTTTATGTATCATGTAAATAGTAATTTATCTTAGTTATTTAATTCATTTAATTATTTTGTTGACAGTGCAGTTAAAAAGACGGCTAGGTGTGCACCTAAATTATAAACAAATTTAAAATAAAATATTGCCGGAAGCTTTGTCCAGCAACTCCGTGACTGTGAAACAACTATTGATTCAAACAGCTTGGCAATATCCTTAGCGTGGTGCTAGCCATGCCGTCGCTGAGTGCTGCTGGTGCCTCCGTCTCTTCACTCACCAGCTTCATGTTGTTGTTGAGATGGTAGTCAGCGGTGAACTGTGCCTATCTGACGCCGGTCGGCCGTTTTATAGTCGGTCCCCTGTCCTCGGCGTGGTCCCCGTATAGAGTGTCCTGTATCCCAGTTGGGACATCTAAGGCCACCAGTCCTGGCGAGGTCACCCTCCGGTCAGCCCTGCCGACCGCGGCGTGGGCACAAGTGCGGGTGAACTTTCCCGGCTCCGCGAGAGCAATTAAACAGAAATACCGGTCAGACATTCGAACTGGGCAAGGTCGGGCTATTGATGAAACCGGGACTGTGCAGAGATGTGACCACCATTCATGGGCACGCGGCATTCAGGGGCAAACGAGATTTAGTACAAGTCCCGTTGGGGGTCGACGCGAGGACATGTAACGACGGCGCCGGTAGCCCTTATTGGTAGATACACGACCTTATGCATGTACAGTTTTAATGAAATGAGACTTCTATACACCAAGAGTTCTATGATGCATGCAAACAAAAACATACTGATGTTTGTCACTCATAATTCTTATCTATTCACACTCGCCGAAGAACAGTTGAATAGTCAGCGACCCTAACGCTCCGAGTGGGTAAGTAGGGGAGACCCGGGAGGTATGGGCCATCGCAGTTTTGAAGAAGTGTTGCGTATTTTTACACATTTGACCACGTAAACTGATAGCAGCCATTTCGTTATGCAACCTATGTGATTTCCAAAATCTTCCTCAGTCTTTTTTGGCAATGAGCGGTGATAAAGCGTTTTTGCCCTCTTCGAATAAAATACGAAACATAAAGTAAATTCGCGATCAATGTGAACCAGGATCGATTTATTATGTCAGACCATCGCTAGCAAAAAGTGTAAAGCATGCTTATTAAGACTGGATAGACAATTTGAAGCTTCCTCGCAAGATTATGAGCTGAGATGCTACGCGCATTCTGACGTCCTAACCGGGAGGTTCGGGCCACCCGCCTCCATTGATCCTAAATCAATAAAATGATGCTTTCTTTGAATGTCCTCTTCAATAACAATTGTTTTTGTCGCACATGGCCGAAAATTTAACTACAGACTGCATTTGAACATACAAATATTGTTTGTCTTATTTATTTCATGGAACAGGATTGAGTTACCCATTATAAATAGGTGCCCAAGTGGCCTCCATGAAGTAAGCTGTTGGCCTATTATGCGGTGCCTGGGCTCTAAGAGAGCTCAAGTTAGATCCCAGCTAAGAGTATTGTTCTCAATGTCGAAAAAAGAATATGAAACATGACACCGGCCCATACGTCCCGGCCCATGGTCCATACCTCCCGGTGTATTTTGCTGGATCGAAAAGGCGCATGATTTATTGAAAGCTATCTCGAGACAAAATAGTTGATCCCAGATGCCTAATATCAGGCACATTTTGCTGGTGGAAGACAATTTCACGTACCTACACAGAGTGAAAAACCGGGTCTAGACACTACTCACTGGAAGAAAATTACCGTTTCACAAAACCGGCCCATACCTCCCGGGTCTCCCCTACCTATCTATTTTTATGCATTGTACACATCTGCCCGGATTAGCGCTAACGTTCAATATTAAACGTCAAATTGACATGACATGTCATTAAAATTGGGCACTATGTTAATCAGAAACGTCATGAAACGTAATTCCTTTAGCAGTCTAGCCTATAAAACTCGCATATTTTTATTCGCTGACTGTGACTAGTCACACACTGTTGAAATCGAGAAATTGGGACGGGGTACCCGACATCCTATATAAACTGTATAAACTGTTCTCACACTGGATGCTCACTCGCGCTGGTGCTGTATAAGGAAAAAAGCTATAATCGGCAAATAATGATGGACAAGCGTCAGCCGAAAGCTCTTTACAACTTATTAGCAGTGCTTAGCTGGCATGAAAATGTAATCCCCGGATCCAGCGTAAGGATCTAATTCACATCTAGCAGAATGCATGCCTGCTCAGGCTCTCCTTCTTATGGGGTTTGCACAAACAATGTGTAGTGTAATTATAGTTACATTGCAGGAACGAACGAGGGCTGACGGGCTTGGCGTGGTGGTGGATCCCCGATCAATGTTAGGTCCATATGCATCTTGGTACATTATTTCACATCAGACCGCTTTCTGAACTTTAGAAATACATATTCTAGTCGAGATGAGAAGATTTTTCTCATGAAGCCTGAAGATAATGTTGTCTACAATCTTAATTAATTTCCCTTTAAAATACCATGGACCCCGTGGTGCATCGATCCGCAAGGAATATCCTTCCCCACACTCTTCTTTTGTATAAGCCTATCACTTTATGTGCCAGCTCCCCCCCCCCCTCCGTTCACTTGACTGTTGGGCCCTCCCCATCTGCCCTGTCAGTCCAAGTTGATCTATAGCAGCATATATGCATGTTCCTTGTTCACCTATCGACATAATTATTGGTGGCATGTCGTGATCTCCCGATGGCCTGTCTTGAACCAGTTAAACGTCAATGACCCTCGATGACAGTTCATCTGACCTCGGTGGCCCAATGACCTGTCACTGTGACCTGGCTTACTGACACTCGGTGACCTTTCGATATGACTTTCGGTCTGACCTTTCTATGTGACTCCCGCTAGCCGACCGCCGTGACTCCGCTGTGACCTGTCAGCACTACCCCTTGCCCTGTCCACGTGACTCTCTTTTACCGTACCTTATCACAATGACCTCTATGTGACCTGTCCCGCCCCCTGCCTCCAGGCGATGTGAGCCGCAGTATCGTCTGTATCTGCACCACGCTGGAGTGTCAGCAGGCGGGCGTGAGCACCTGTACCACCACCGGCATGTGCTACACCCAACAGCTAAGGCGGCTCGACGGCGCCGACCCCATGACCAGAGGCTGTGTCAGGTCAGTGGGGTGGTTTTTGGCCATCTCAGCCGGGTCAGTACTAGGGGAATTATGTAAATGAGGGATCGAGAGCTATGTCTTGTTGCAGTAAGTCCGCTTTGGAAAGCTCAGTCCCTATCCCAAGTAATTTGTACTTGTGCTGTGGTACCTACCCACCAACTAAGTATTCATGTGATATTCGCGAGAAAAAATTAGAAAGGCTTGAAGCCCGCGAAGGTGCCCTTTAAGCTTCAACGTTGCAAACGGCTTTGGGGCTGAGCTGCGCCAATGGCATCTTAAACATTAATTGCAACGTGGAATCTGTGATATTAGACGTCTAACACGTGATCTCTCATCTAAGACCCGGTAAGTCATGACTCGTGATCTCTGGCTGCGACCTCTGACCTCTGACTCGTGACCCGTGTTATATTCCCAGGGGCGAGACGCCTCTAATGTGTGACCACCTGCTGCCGACCCACGGGGAGGACTACCGGGCCAGCTCCATCTGCTGCGGTACCCCGCTCTGTAACAAACAGGTGTCGCTGGCGTCTGGCCGCGGCCGTGGCCCCGGAGGGACCAGGAGACACGAGCAGCACGAGCAGCGGCGGACCAGCGGCGCCAAACACGGTAACGAAACTGACGGGGGTGAATAGTGTACAGCAGATGCTTCGGTTATGCAAACTCTTACGAAGCGAAACCTGCTATAGAGAAGTTTGCTTTCGAGGATACGTGTGCCTACACTTAAAACATCCTCGACGACCTATGCTGGACCGAACGTCTTATTCACGTCTAAAAACGGCGAGGAGAACGTCTCATATTTGACATACCGTGAATCAAGTGTCTAATTTCTTTGGTACACAATGTGTGCATTGTGGTCTACAAGATTATGTAACGTTGTTGGCAACGCTTATGTCCATGGAGACTTGTTCTCAATCTCGAATAGCGAACTGTGCCCTAATCGCCGTTTTCGTCCGCGGCCACCGCACGGCCACCATCCTCAGCTTCAGCGCCACCTGTGCCGGCAGATGTTTCGGTGAACCGGACGCTAGAGGCGCTGCTGGCGCTGGGAGGTCGTCAGGGGGCGGCCGGCTGGAGGCCCGGTCCACTGGTCATCTCGGTACTGGCCGTCGGACTGGCCATGGTGGTCGGCATTAGCGCGGCGGGGATCTACATCCTACAATCAAATAGGTACTATACACCACGACTGAGCATGGTCGGCTGTAGTGAACTTTGGTTAGATGCAGCAGTCGGTAATTCAATAAGCAATGATGACGCATGACGCACGGGCTATTTTTTCTTTTTCCATCGAACAATATTTAATTATTAACCTAAACATGTGGAGCATTTGACTTCATTCGGCTGGCTTTGGCTAACTTATGTATCCTCTCCATCGCGTCTGCACCAGCTCACGACTGATCAAGTCATCGTCCTCTGAGTCCTCGATTATTCGTGGTCTCAGCGATCCGGGAGCTTGTACTAATTTCTGATTATAAGCCCATACATGCAGCTTCTACTGTCATCATGATTAGACACATCGCTCATCTGTGGATCAGTCTAACTGTCTTCGCTGTGCATCCCTACGTTGTTGTGCACTGCGTACAGTGTTTTAGCCTTCTAAACCTAATAAACTGCTCGATTTCACAGGTTCGTAGCGGAAGTCCCATTCTCAGCGTGTCCTCGCGACCACGTCACGTCCTGAGCGTCACCACGTCACGTTTTGAGACGTCACTGCGTGCGTTTACGTCCTGGGCATCCCTGCGTCACGTCTTCAAACAACACCCGGTGTGGCAAGTCATTCCGCGAACGCTGCATCATATGTGGCATTGCATTTGATCGATTGAATCCCACCTGTGCTATTCTCAGTGTTATTAGAGAATGGTAACAAAACCTTGCCAGCATAGTGTAGCCCGTGACAGTTCTGACTGGACAGGCGGCCACGCCCTGGTCGCTGCGTGCAGTCCGGTCACCCTCAGAAAAAGTGGCACTCTCCTAGTGAACTGCACTCAGACTCTGACATTGCTGTGTCGCAACGACTGCGTATCGTGAGCACACCCAATCCATTAACGTTATAATGGAGGAATTGGGTACGACAAGCCGATCGGAGGCGGTGGGAGATCTCAGTCGCTGCAAACATGCACGCTATAGCTGCAACAGGTAACGGCTGTCTAAGAATAATGTCACTCGGCAATGTGCATTGTGGATGCCGTCGGCTTTATTCCGGCAATCAATCATCCGAATTGGCGGACTATGACGGCGAAATGTCGTATTCCATTAGAGTCGCTGGCGGCGGCTGTGGGCTGAGCGGCCTGTGTGAAGCTCCGGTGGGGACACGCCGTCGAGCCGCCCCGACATTCGGAGAGCGCCAGAGTACAGCGGTTCTCGTTTACCGCCTGTCGCCGAATATGGGCCTACAGAGCGGCGGCTGGTCGGAGCGGCGTTCCACGCAGTCTGGGCCGCTCTGTTCCGAGTAGTACCGACGGGACTGAGCTGTCTGTTCGAAGCCGAGCTATCCCGAGCCGAGCGTTCCGCAGCTGATCTTTCAGGACCTGTGTTGTCCGGACTCCGGAGCTCAGCCATCCGGATCTGCGTTGTCCGCTGTTTCTGGAATTGTGTTGTCCGCTGTCCGGAGTTGTCATGCTCGTAATTGTCGTTGTCCGGAGCTGAGCTATCCGGATCCGTACTAACTATGTTAGAGCTGGATTGTAGCCTTTCCAGTGTCCATCGTATCCGGAGTTGTGCCGTCTATTGTCTGGTGTCCGACACCGAAATATCCTATTCCCAGAGCTGTGTCCTCTGTTCGTAATGTTCCTGACTCGTATCTGACCCTGGGCTGTCCGTGACTGGCACTATGTCGTGTGCGTTGTTGCTCGCGCCCGAGCCGTGCCAGCCTGCATCAGCGGTGGCCGTCGATGGCTGGTGCGCACGTTTTACACGGCACGCCACCCGCTACCGTGCTATCTCGATTATAAACCCGGCAATATGCGGAGTTCGGGCTGCCTTGCAGCGGAGAAGTGATTTGCAATGGTAGTTATCGTGTGCACCCAGCCGTTTTATTTGTAGATAGATATTGTCTTATACTAAAAGCTTGGGTCCGTCGTGCATGAGCCGTATGACATGATGTTTGTTTCCATGCGTGATGTAACATCGTGTGAACTTGTCATTTATTTCATTCGGTCATGCTATTAGCCAGCATCATGTATGTTATGTAGATACGTCTATCGTCTCTATATGGTTCGTATATTTTTCGGATCCTAACAGTGATCCTAATTCCAATACCGGCGGCCGGCCTGTCATGTTTTATGTAAAACTCCCCCACTCTAAATGTCTCGAGATCCTTGCCCTTCTGTTCCTGAGCTGTGCCGGTGCATGCCTGCCGTCGGAGTCGGTTCCATCGTTCCTGCCGCCGCGGAGTCGGTGCTGGTGTGCCTGTGTCCGTGGTCGGTGCCGGCGCCCGTTGACGTGCTGTTTATCAGCAGCGCGGCACGGCACGGCTCGTCGAGTCCGTGCCGGCCCGGCGTGCCGTCCGTGCCGTGCCGACGGAGCGGCCGTCTGGTGCCCCTGTGAACGCCGACCCACCCTCCCGGTGTATATCTGTATCGCGTGTCGGCGTGCCGGGTGAGGACGCCGCTGAAGACACGGTCAACTCTAGTCATTAACATGTTTACAGGCCCGACAACCGTGAGGCGCGACTTTGCTTTTGGCTGGATGGGAAAGTGCGGGTTAACAGCGGAAGACGGGATTGGAGACATGGCAGCGGCACGACCTGACGAGACTGAGAGTAGCGAAATACACGGGAGAACAAACGAACGTCAAGTTCCACGACTGCCGTTGTGCCCGACATCGTCCAACGCACGTTCATTGGCAACTGGGGAGGGAGAACATGCGTAAACCCAGCTGCCGACAGCTGCCGATGTGGCGGAACTAAGCTGCTACATCGCCCACCGCACGACAGGGGCTGGCGGGGCGAGTCCGGGCGAGTGTTAGGATGTGGGTACCTGACTACCGAGAAACCCACCGAGCTCCGTCCGGTAAACGAGCCCCCGTGTCGTGTAGCATGCATGTCGCCGGGCCTCGGCCACCGTGTTATTTCCTCGTCCGACAGTGATCCACTGGCGCTATCCACAGCGGTCTAACACTAACCCGGGGAGTACCTCGGCCGGATTTTTATTCACCCGTTTAGGAGCTGGCAAAACGACAAAAAGGCGCTCAGTGCCATCACCGGGCATTTTTGTTGCATCTTTCCTGTTGGCGTTTTTCGGTGGTGACGGTAGGTGGAGGCGAGGGCCGAGGAAATAGTTAGCCGAGTCGGGACACTTATGGTGACAGTAGGCTATGCGACGAATAAAAACATATTGGTCCCTCCGACAATGTTACGCATACCTTGATATTTACGGTATTCGACTGCATCAATGATAATGTACTGCGAACAAGTGATGAGTCGGGTAAGCAACGTAGCTCAGATAACGTTTAAAGTAAGAAAGTTCGCTAAGTAAGTAAATCGCTAAAAAGTAACTATGTGGCGTGTCTCGCTGCAGTCGCCGCTATATCCCACGGACAGGCGGCCGTGACGCCGTCTCCGCGACCGTCGGGCACTCACCGCCGAACCGGTCGATGGATAACCAGTTCGAACCATCACATTAATCACGGCCGTTATTTAATTAGGGTCCATTTGAGCGGTGTATCTGATAGCCGACCCGGTGTCGCCGCCGCCGGCCGGGCCGGTCGCATGCCGCGCGTGCCGGGCCGATGGGTGCCGCTCTGCCGCGGCCAGCGAATTTGTCACCGACTGGCAGACAGCCGACACCCTTTTAGGACGACTGATGGGGGCGGTCCATCAGCCGCGGTCATCCAGTCCGCCGGACCGCCCCGGTAAACTACCCCACCAGAGACACCCGAGCGACCGACTGGAAACACGGCCCCAATGGAACAGGAAAGTGATCTGGGTGCTTGGTGTCATTAGGTTTCATGGCGTGACTTATTGTGTGGATTGGCTGGGTGTTGTTTGGTATTTTACTGTTCATGTCTCATGCAACATTCTTGTCCTTCAAGTTTTACCATCCACAGCGCTATTTGTTTGGCACTCGAGGTATATAGTAGTGGGAACTGAGAAAATCGCTGCTTGATGTTTTAGCTACCTGTGGATCCTTGGTGGATCAGAGTAACACCCACATCTCATGACGCTGTCGCCCTCCACTGACCTCTCGAGGCCCGCCGCGCCGGTGCCATGCCTTTGTGACGTCGCTCCGTGCCGTCGTTTCGTCAGAGCGGCGACGCATGCATGAGACACGACCGCGTCCTGTCTGACACGGTCGCGGCGCCAGCTCCGGCGCGCTGACGAGTCAATCCAGACATGGACGTGACGACGACCGGCGCGGCGGCGACATATCTCTGTCTGCGGGGTGGGACTCGATCCTGTCGGCCCTGCCCTCGCGCCAACGCCTGACACTCACTGCCGCTTGCCACGCCGTCAGTACTGAGCAAAACCGTCGTGCGGCGCCGCCGCCTCGCTGTCGCCACCACGCCTTTCTACTGCAGACGATACAAGATAAGCTGAGCCAACCGGAAACTCCAAAGTGGAGTGCGATCTTTTTTAGATGCAGTCCCGCGTCCAAATAAGAGGTTGTCGGTAGGGGCTGCCGGATATACCCGCAGTGAGTCACCGACTTGCCACACCCGTGGCTCATTGGACCAGCCAAGGAGCCACCAATAAGGGCAGACTCGATAAACCATTAACTATCCCAGCTCGGCCCTCGCACTCCGCCTTCCCACAGTTGACCGGTCGGGTCGCCGGATGACCTGGCCTGACCTCACCTGTGGCGCCTCCTCCGGCGCGGCCGGCCGCCGGCTCCATTAGCCGCCGCGCCTCCGACCGGCCCGCCACGGCCCTCTGGGACACTTTATGACAGACGAAAAACCCGCCGACGGTATCGGGACATCGGAACGAAGCGGCACTCACAACAGCGAATTCCACTTAGTCGGCGCCTGGGTAAAAAGTCCCAGCCGCCACTGGACGGGACAGGCATCTGCGCGCGGGAGAGAGGACGAGGGGAGGATGGCGAGGGACGGCCACCGGCGAAGGGCCCAGAGATAAGGGGAAAAGGGGAGAGACTGAGTCTCCAGTACTGGGAACAGAGTACTGATCTCAGGCGCACACCGCCTAACATCTGAGTGTTAGGGTATCCTGGTTTCCGATTTCCGGTGGCCACCTATGCGACAGCGATTCCTACTCTAAGCTTGTCTCGACATTCATTATGGGACAGTGCTCTCCGGCAGGGCCACTTAGAGGTCAGCAAAGTAAAACTATTACTTGCCGCGAATTTTGAAATCAAAAGTTATTGGTTAAGATTTCGCTTCCACGCAATTTCCCCAATTGAATCGTGCAAAATATTATTTCTTCGCCCCTTATGTACTCAAAGGTACTGTGAACATTGCAGCATTCGTGCGGGATGCAGTGAAATGCAGCTCCCACTGCCACCGACTAGCCGTTGGTCGCAGTTCCCTTCCACCCACCCCTCCCTCCAGTCCGCATGGTGCAGTTCGCACGCTAGTTCTCGACATGATGAGCGGACGAAGGGCAGTGGTCTGCAGGCCATCATCATTTATTCGAGTAATGCAGGTGCTGACCAAAAGTGCCGCCTCATGGCCTCGGTGGCGTCATCGACGTCTCATTAGCCTGGACCACCTCACGGTGCACCGCCGGCCGGAGCAGGGCCGGTCACTGAGGTGACTGGGGGGCATAGGCGGCGGAACGGAGGGGGGGGGGGGCACCGGGGGCACCGTGCCCCCCTTGATTTTACCATTTTAACGTTAGCCCTATGAGCGTTGCATGGAAAGAATGGGACCAAAAGAAGGCAGTCCCCCCCCCCTAATTGAAGGTGTTCCGCCGCTACTGCCCGGGGGGGGGGGGGGGGAGGAGGGACCAGGGAAGCGAGACGGTTTCGTTGCATACGGCTTACTTACATTCTTAGGAAGGTATGAATGTGAATTGTTCAATGTCCATGCATTCAATTTCATATAACATCATATATTTCTTATTGGGTTTAAACGGTCTTTAATAGCCCGGCCGTCGTTATACATCAGTAGATATATTGTTACAGCTAAAAGTCATTTTTTAACTTGCTTTTTTATGAAGCGTTGCTAGTGTTAAACTTTTACGCATCCAATCGGTGACATGTGCAATTTGGCGAGCACGTTAACATCTGAGAAAGGTAAAATGTTTTTTACCCTTCTGTGTATGTGCCTGCGATTTCGTTGCGCAGGTGCAACGCTCCGTTTCGGTGAATGTAGATACTTATTGGTTGTGCTATAATTGCAGTGTCTGCAGGTAAAGCCATGTTCATTACCTGCTGGGGAGCCATTGCCAAAAATCGATCCCCTCCCTATCTAACCACTATCGCATAGACCCCACCCTCACCAGCACGCACCCTCTCACTGAGTCAGAACGGCCCCCTGTGACATATGTGGCGCCACCGTGTCGATTGCGACGCGTCGACGCACCCTCTGAGTCAGCGTCGGCGCCGGTGGCACGTGGCACGCGCCCATCGTCGGCCGTACAGTCAGCTCGCAAAAACCTCGACTGCTCATTATTTCCAGAATACCTATTCATGCGTAATCGAAAGGTGAAACTAAGACTCAAAGGCATGGGAGAGTGACGCATAGTGACTTCCAAATGATACTTAGGTACTGGGTTCTGAAATGGCCGTCTCAGACTATGGCTACGTTTCCATGGCACAATCTAAGCCGATTTTGAAAAATGGATTTGCTCCATCATAGCATTTAGGCGTAATTTAAAAATGTATATATAGGATTAGGTGCTAGCTAAAACCATATATACGCTCATTTTTTGCATAAGGTAAATAGTTTCCGAGAAAAACGCACGTGAAATTTCGCTACATCGATTTAGACGTGTCATGGAAACGTAGTCTATAAGACAATTTTTTTCATTTGCTCTTTTAGAGGTAGTGACTGACAACGCGGGCAGCAACGACAATATTAGGTAGTACTGGCGCAGCTCACTCGCCACAATAAACTAGTGAATCAGCAAAAAATCCTGCGAATTCGCACGTAAACATATAAACTTATAAATATACAAGAACTCGCAGGTAGGTAAGCGATAAACTGAAGTTTATCGTTTATCTGGCCTATCCGATTATACTCGTGCCATGGATAGATAATAATGGATTGGTGTCTTCGCAGTTTTTAGCGACATTGAGCTCAGACCTGCCATCTAGCGGGAGAATTATCGCAAGTTAGGAGCAAGCCGAGTGAACGCCGCTGATTAGCATTGTGACACACGGGAGTGTGGTGTAGTAGCAGGCTTGATGTGCAATTTTTTTCAAAATGTTATGTCTTAATATGTCAGCAAAATTGTGAAGAAATTAATAAATTTATGTGCAGGGTGAGTAATAATATAAGCGGTTCCCTGTTATTTCCTCTTTAAATCGTGAAACAGGGAGTTATTGGAGACCTCGCCAGCACGTGTCGTTTTCGCTATTTTTCACATGAGTCTTTACTTGGCCTAAATCAAACAAATTGTTCGATCAAAGAACAAAACTAACTTAAGTACTAATATATAAGTCTAATGAAAAGGTTAAACGGAATTGCTAACGTCATTGCCGCTCAATAGTCATTCAAGACGCTCTATGAAAAGGACCCAACCAGTGCTGCGTAGTCGATGAAATTTCAGTGACTGGCTCCAACTCCGATTCCGGTATCCAAATATCGACTCCGACTCCTCCGGGCAGAACTGTCGATTCACACAGACTCGACTCTGACTCCGACTCTGCAGCCCTGGTAAGTCTGTGGAGTCGATGACTTTT